AGAAGACACCCAAAAAGAGAACAACACGCCAGAAGACACCCAAAAAGAGAACAACACGCCAGAAGACACCCAAAAAGAGAACAACACGCCAGAAGACACCCACTCTGTCACCCCACACAAACCAGCAGCACCAGCAAAGCCACCCCACACAAAACCATCACTCCTCATCCCACGCCTCACAAGCTGCAGCTCAGGGGGCTCCTTCGCACCCCCCTTCCCACCCCCCGCCCCAAACCCCCCCAAACCAGCCACATTCCCTGCCCAGCTCAGCCCGTGAAGCCGCTCCAGGGAGAGGGGGGTCCCAACCTCGAGGGTGCGGCCGGGGGATGAAACCCAGGAGCAGGGGACAGGGATGAAGGGCCTGCCCACCCCCAGCCCCGCTCACCACCGGCCCCAGGCCGCTCCCCCGGGCCCCGGCCCGAGCCAGCAGGGCCCGCCACAAGGACATGGCGGGGCCGGGAAGGGACGGGCGCTGCCAAACGGCGTCACGGGGCGGGCCCGGCGCGGCTTCCTGCCCCCTTCCCATCCTCCTCCTCCTCCTCTTCCTCCCGGAACGAGGCGGGTTTTACACACGGAGCTCCCCCCTGGGCCTGTTCCCAGCTCGCAGTGCCCAGGGGGAAGGGACAGGCCTGGGGTGCCCGTTGGGCGGTTCCACAGCAATAGGGCCCCATAAAAACGGGCTGAAATAGCGAGTTTGCTGCGCTCAGGGTTGTTTTGGAGCTGAGACAGAGACAGGAGGAGAGACAGAGACAGGAGGAGAGACAGAGACAGGAGGAGAGACAGAGACAGGAGGAGAGACAGAGACAGGAGGAGAGACAGAGACAGGAGGAGAGACAGAGACAGGAGGAGAGACAGAGACAGGAGGAGAGACAGAGACAGGAGGAGAGACAGAGACAGGAGGAGAGACAGAGACAGGAGGAGAGACAGAGACAGGAGGAGACAGAGACAGGGAGACAGGACCAGAACAGAGACAGGGCCAGGACAGAGACAGGGCCAGGACACAGAGACAGGGCCAGGAGGAGAGACGGGACCAGGACAGAGACAGGACCAGGACACAGAGACAGGGCCAGGACACAGAGACAGGACCAGGACAGAGACAGGACCAGAACAGAGAGACAGGGCCAGGACACAGAGACAGGACCAGGACAGAGACAGACAAAATGATCACAATATGCAAGGAGAAGACACACAAAATGATCACAATATGCAAGGAGAAGACACACAAAATGATCACAATATGCAAGGAGAAGACACACAAAATGATCACAATATGCAAGGAGAAGACACACAAAATGATCACAATATGCAAGGAGAAGACACACAAAATGATCACAATATGCAAGGAGAAGACACACAAAATGATCACAATATGCAAGGAGAAGACACACAAAATGATCACAATATGCAAGGAGAAGACACACAAAATGATCACAATATGCAAGGAGAAGACACACAAAATGATCACAATATGCAAGGAGAAGACACACAAAATGATCACAATATGCAAGGAGAAGACACACAAAATGATCACAATATGCAAGGAGAAGACACACAAAATGATCACAATATGCAAGGAGAAGACACACAAAATGATCACAATATGCAAGGAGAAGACACACAAAATGATCACAATATGCAAGGAGAAGACACACAAAATGATCACAATATGCAAGGAGAAGACACACAAAATGATCACAATATGCAAGGAGAAGACACACAAAATGATCACAATATGCAAGGAGAAGACACACAAAATGATCACAATATGCAAGGAGAAGACACACAAAATGATCACAATATGCAAGGAGAAGACACACAAAATGATCACAATATGCAAGGAGAAGACACCCAAAAAGAGAACAACATGCCAGGAGAAGACACACAAAACAAGAACAACATGCCAGGAGAAGACACACAAAACAAGAACAACATGCCAGGAGAAGACACCCAAAAAGAGAACAACACGCCAGGAGAAGACACACAAAATGATCACAATATGCAAGGAGAAGACACACAAAATGATCACAATATGCCAGGAGAAGACACCCAAAAAGAGAACAACATGCCAGGAGAAGACAC